ACCGGGCCCGGCTTGGGGGGCGCCTTGCGCCCGGGCACCGACAGCCTCACTGCCGCCATGGTCTGCGGGGAGAGAAGAGGATGAGGTCAGCACTCTGGGAGGCTGAGGCAGGAGGATCGCAAGTTCAACCCCGTCCATGAAGGAGGAAGACGGGCTTCAAAATTTGAGTGGTCCAGAAAGATATGGTTCATTGATCCTTGGAAGCTAAGCAGGGTCGGGCCTGGTTACTACTTGGATGGGGGATATTTTTGTATTTGATGGGATATTGAAACGATACTGTTTGTATCTATATTTATCATGTGTTAGCACAGTCCTGGGGACTGAGCCCATAGCTGTTGCACTGAGCTACATCCTGAGCCTTTCAAAAAATATTTTATTTTAAAACAGGTTCTTGCTAAATTACCAGCCACGGCTGGGCTCGAACTTGTGATTCTCCTGCCTCAGCCTCCCAGAGTGCTGGGATTACATGACTCTGTTTCTTTAAATGTGGTTACTAGAAATTATACATCTGGATTGCATTGTTCATACTGGACAGTGCTGATCTAAGCCCAGGAGACAGATTAAAAAGATAAACAAATTATATAGTACACTAAATGATGATAAATACCAGTGAAAGAAGACAGCAGGGAAGGCTGTGTTAAGGCTGGGGGTGCTGAAGTTCTAGCTGGGGTGGCCAGGGAAAGGCTCTTCAAGGTGGCACTTTTAAATAAAGACCGGAGCAAGGTGAAGGGAAGAAGCCATCAGGATGCTGGGAGGGAGAGTGGTCCAACAGTGCAAAGGCCCCGAGGCAGGAATCAGGAATGTGTCTGGGAGTCTGGGGCACTGAGAAGGCACCCGGGTAGTTATGGTCAAGGGGTGGAGGGGAAGAGAGCGGCCAGTGAGATGAGAGCGAGCCGTGGTGGTGCACGCCTGTCAGTCCAGCACACGGGAGGCTGAGGCAGGGGGATCGCTACACAGTTACAGTGATTCAAGGCCAGGCTGAGCTACATGGAGAGACCCTGTCCAAAGAAAAAAGAAAGAAAATAAAAGAATATAACCTTGCTTTTATCTGGTGTGAACCCCAGGAGGCCAACGACTTGATTTCTGTCATCAGATTCCCTGGCCCCCTCTGGTCACTCCTGTCCGGCACCTCAGAACGGACTCAGCCCCACTCCTGCCTGGGTTACATCTCCTTCTGCTGGCTCTGCCCTCAGGTGCCTCTCCCGTACCAGGCTGTGCCCGGGCGGCGGTGTAGGACCCGGGGAAGAGTCAGACCGGGCCCTGTCTCCGCTCCGCCCATCCATGCAGAGCAGGGAGCTAGCTGCCTTGGGATGCACTGGGGCCCCTCCCTGCCCTCCCTGGGGCCCCAGACAGTGAGGGACAGATGGCAGTGCCACGCGCCAGCCACCGAGGGCCTGCATGGTGCCCTCCTCCCGCCCGTGCCCTGGCCCTGGCGCACTTGGGCTCAGCACCCTGGAAACGGCGGTGCACTTCTGCGCTCCGAGCCCCACACAGCCAGGCCGCGGGACTTTACTCCCGCCCCACCCACCCACTTCCTCCCGCGCTCTGCCCTTTGAACAGGAAGG